TTCTTAGCAACTTTTATGCAGCAAAAACACAAAATGTTAATTGATATTCTATTAGTTGAAAGTTTTTATGTGATATAACAATCATTTAAATAAACAATAAAATTAAAATTCTCCCTTCCCTCCCCTTCCCTTGTCTTATCGCCAATCACTTCCTTCTCACTAATTTTAGTTTATAAAGCTAATTCAAAAAACAATTTAATTGTGATAGTACATGATTTTATATGCTTATTGATTATTGATAAATGACATATGAGATTTTATAATATGCATTTCTATAGCATCGCAAGCAATCCTTGTTTAATTTAATATGATTTATAGTTGGTTAATTAAATCTATTTACTGGAATATTAAAATAGTTTTAACTATATTTGTAATGTTAGTTTTGAGCAAAAATATTTTATATGCCAAATATGGCTTTAAAACATATGTCCAGGTTGTCCAGGAATTTCATGAAATATTTAAATGAAAATCCAGGAATTCTAAATTTCGAGTTGGGCACACTACTTGACATTGACATTTTAGTGTACGTAAAAACACATTTTAGTAAAATGGTAATAAATTACACATTTAAATGTAATTTAAATATCTATACCTATATCATACCAACTAATAAATAAAATCTTTGGTCGATTCAATGGTTAATCATTATTGCAATTACTTTATGGACACCACTCCAACTCAACCAGATTTAATAAACCAAAACTTGCAAACAAACTGACAATTGTTTTAAAATAGTTGACAAAATAACATAAAAGTGTTTCATAAACAGAGTGAACGTAAACGAGTTGAACGAGAGATATAAACGAGATATTAATACCAGAGTCTGACGTAATCATGTAAACGAGTGCCACAATTGAGTTGTATTTAAAACCATTTGCACACAAACTATGCGTTTAGTAAGAGATGGGATGCCTGTGAGGATTGTATTCGTGTTGTTTCTCATATAAACATTTAAATTGTCTATTTCATTTGATTATTGTTGTTACTTTATACGTAAACACACATTAAATGCAATAATTGTAATTGATTTTAGTAAATTATTGTGCTTAATTACTTTTAAATACTTGCGGATTTTGTAATTATAACCAAAAAAGTCGTGTACTTGATATGAGTCGTGTTAATATTAATATATTAATCCGCCATTGTAAAATATTAATTTGTTAAGTATTTAATTTCAGTGAGCATTTGACACCATATGGGTTTTGATGGCTTACTCTGATTTACTCGATATCATTGCAATTTTGTAGGTTTTCTTAGTTTTGCTATATTTTTTCATATTGTGAACTGGTCATTTAGTTCGAAATACTAACATTTATATCAGTCAATTGCAAAGGGGGAAAGGAATATGAATTTTTTGTGTGATTAGTACGTATCCTGAGTAATGCTAAGTGACCTCATTTATACGAAAATTACAAATATATTTTTATTCATTCATGTTCAATATTACGTACTGATCTGAATGCCGTCAAAAAATTCATATTCCTTTCTCCCTTTGCAATTGACTGATTTATATATTGGGTAAGTAATTACATTTTGTTATAAAAGTAATTCCATCTTGTTACTCTATTGTTATGGTGTCCGATTAGATTTGGGTTTTGATTTCCAAATGTGAGCAGACTGACCAACTCTGATTTTTCAAATAGTGTACAAATTTCAAAAATAATTAATAAAATAGTGTACAAATAGTGTACATCCATTTTTATTGTGGATTTGAATTACAATATTTTTAAGAATTGGTCTCTTGAATGTAAATTTTATAATAATATTTTAATCCAAAATAAAAATTAATATCTTATTCTTACTATTGTTTCAATTGTTAACACATTTTATACATTTTTTACAAATGTTTGTTTATTTCGTTCGTTTATGAGATAATTTTTATGATATATAAAACCTTTTAGAAGTTAAGGTAAATGTAAGAAATTTTGATAAAGTTTTTATGAACACATTAAAATACTATATTTTAGTATATAGTACAGTGGTTATCAATGTTCTGTATTTAATTTAGTATTAAAAGGAGTGTGAGATACAGTACTTATTATATGTAATATCGAGATAATGATAATCTAATAATTATTTCCAAATTCCAATTATGATCTTATTCTGAAATTTTGTTTTCATTTTATTTATTAAGCATATATTATACAAAATATATTTCAACTTATTCAATGGATTTTTAAAATGTTAGATATTATATTAAATTATTTTATTTTTAAATTGTTAACATTAAATCTTTACTAATTTACATATTTGGCAAATTTTTAGCTGTTTTAAACTTGCCATACAAAATACATTATATGTATACTAAAAAATAAAATTAGAAAAGGTAATACAGTATATATTAAAAATTGTAATAAATACTATATTGAATATATTATAAATTAATATTAGATTAGATTATTTTTAAAAGCACAATATATTATGTACTGAAGAGTAATACTGTATATTTAAAACAGATTTTTAATTTTATATGAAAAGTATTACAGTTTCTGCAAATGTTTGCTAAACTGATATGTATTTATATAAATTTTTAAAATAGTGAACATTCAATGTTCACTATTTCCATTTTAAAACGGGACTCTCCTAAAAGACCTAAAACCGAAAAGACCTAAACTCAAATAGCTAACTCAAATAACTTGATTTAATTTAGGTTAGGGTAGGTTAGGTTAGGTTAGGACAAATCTATTCTACTCATCAAATTTAAAATACGACCACTGGTCAGTTAGTTAGTTATTTTAGTTTAGGTCTTCGGTTTTAGGTCTTTTGGGGTAGAACCCCGAATACCATATTATGTACTCAAATATGTTAGTATTGTTTGTTGTTTCAAATTGTTATTTTACAATTTTAGATAATATCCATAGTGAATTTCTAACTACATAGTAATTTAGTGAATATAAAATCTGTTATTTCATTTTACTGATATTAAGATGCCATAAATAGTAATTGTTCTTGTTTGATTTCCCATTTTTTGTAGTTTACGTTTTTTCTAAATTGTGACATATAATAAGTAATGCCAAAAGTAAAGCCACATAATTTACTGTCAATTTCAAGTGGTCCACCATTAAAAAAGACAAAACTTGTAGAGTTTAAAGGTAAAAGTATAGTGCCAGAATCAAGTGAAAAACAAGCTGTTAAGCGTCATCTAACCAAAATCTACGATGCTGCATGCAATCTTCATGTGGATACGCAATATTATGACAAAGCTGGAATTGATGTAATTAAAAAGATTTATAATTACGGCGAAAAGTACAACGATACGCATAAGTCGTTGCTAAAATATCCCGATATAGAAGAAATTAGCGAGAAAGTTTGCGACGCGTTAAATAAAAAAACCAAGTGGTTCTTTGAGTTTTTGAAACATTTTCCGTCAAAATACTTCAATGAATTAAATTCGCCGAGAGAGGTGTATGAATTGATAAAGGGCGTTCAGTGCATGATAACCAATTGGACAATTAAAGGACCTAGTGACGAAATGTTTGCCAAGCATAAAGACACGGTGATCGAGCGCATTGCCGAGCGATTCGGCATGTGGATCGAGAGTGAAGCAAATCATGATTTCTTAAAGGACAATGAGCATATGACAAGTTTGTTGAAGTTAACAAGTAAACACCACGCCCAATTATTAGACATTCATAAACATTAAATGAAGTGTCCATGATGAAATGGAGAGTTAATTTGTGGTAATAATTCTATTAATGTGACTGTCTAAAATAAAATTTTAATTAATTATTAATTAATGCCCCATCGTATGCATTATGGCATCAGCCAGTAATACAGTTGATGTTTATAAAGAAAAATGGAGAGCAAACGATAAATTAAATTATGACAAACTTATGTACATTTCAACTGTCAGTCAGCAAAAAACATTTAATAAAATGTATGACAGGAATAAACATGATATGACTTTCATGGATAGACCCGCCTTTAACATTACCTGTTTATCTAGAGCCGCGGCATCATATGCGTTTAGTAAAGTTAATAAAAACACAAAATTTGAAACATTTTGCAATCATTTCACATTTGCATATTCCGAATTATATTTATTACATAATGAGTACAATGAATCCGACTATTGTATCGAAAATCGTATAACTTTAAAATCATATATAGGCAATAAAGGTAAATTTGGCGATCTATTTAAGGATGATGATAAATATTGTTTGACCGAAAAAGCGATTGGAAGATTTATAGAGCTTAATGAAGAACACTGTCAAGATTTGGCAGGTTGCGATTTGTGGAAGTCCAATTCTACTAACAAATCAAAACAAAATTCTGGCGAACCATATGAATATAGAGATATAATTGACAAGGTCAAATCAAAAGAAGGAATTTTTTTCCATGATAATTTGGCATTCATTGCCCATTGGCGAAAACATTTAAAAGAAAGTCGAAAACCATATCAAAACAAATGTCAAAGAGACCTTTTTACAAAGAGTGAGACGGATTATTACAAGATCATAAGTAATCCAAATTATTACAATTATCCTACTGCGAAAGAATATTACAATTACGCAAAAGATACAATTAAATTGGGCGTATATTGCAAAGGTAGAATTTATAAGTGGAATTATGAAGAGGATGAAAATATATTTAACTTCTTATATCAAATTCATGATACTGGTCGTTATGATTTTGTGAGTGTACACACAAAGCGCGACATTAATATTAATACCTATCACGTAAAAGATAAAGTTGATGAAATAGAAATTTATCTTAAGGAATGTAAAAAATTAAGAAAAATTGAAAAATTTTATAAAATACAATTATAGTATACACAGTATTCTCGACACTAAATATTAATCGTTCTAAAGTTTATAATTATAAACTAAAAATTAAAGTTGTGCCATATACTTTAACTTGCAAAATTGATTAAACTTGTAGCTTTCACTTATAGCACACTTTGGCATTAGCATCAGTAACTACTAACAATATAATAGTTATGTTACATCATAACTTTAATCTCATTTTATTTTAGTTGTTTTTATAATTGAATAATAATTATATTAATATACGGTATACTATAATTTGTATTAAATATGATATGTTAAAATCATAAATTAATTATATATAATATTAACAATTTAAACATTCAATTCATATTTTAACAATAATCTTACTTTTATTATATTATTTAATTAACATTATTTTATGAAAAATGGCGATCCACTGTTAGAAGAAATGAAAGTAATTATATAATTTTTAAAATAATTATGACAAATTCTTATTAATTTATTTAAAATATGATTACCTTGATAGAAAATCCAACAAAACGAGCATGAAAATAAGTGCCGTATTCAGCATATTAGGAATGTGTTAAAGGACCCAGTTAGAATGAAACAGTTCCTGGATAACACGGGCTCTCACCAGTTGGCTAATGAATTAGTGGAAATGTTCATAATGGACAATAATATGGATGACATGATTTTCACATTTGTTAATATGATTGACCTTGGTCAGATGAGCACTACAGGGGATCCATTATTAGATGAAATGAAAGTATGTCTTATATTCTTAGATTATGTTAAATACTTTAGTCACTTAATTAATAATAGACTATTTATCAAAATGTAAAAATATGATTACTTTGATAGAAAATCCAACAAAACGAGCATGAAAATAAGTGTCGTATTCAGCATATTAGGAGAGTACTGAATGATCCAGGTCGATTTATACAGCTTCTGGATATCACGGGCTCTCACCAGTTAGCTAATGAATTAGTGGAAATGTTCATAATGGACTACCCCTGGCCATATCGCATAGACCTGGCTGTATTACCAGTAGTACGGGCATCGGAATTGAGATCAGGGAACATCCGCTATTTTTTCATGGACTCCAGTCCCAGGGGTCAGGCCATTGTGTTTATTTGCGCCGATGGACTGGACAGGGAGGCGGACAGATGGGAGTCCATTTTGGGACAGTTAGGCATCGAGCAGGACGTCTACAGAAAAGCCAAGTGCTCGCAGATAAGGGATGTGCTGTTGGGAGTGTCGGGTCAACCCTTCGACGCCGACGCCCTGTTTGTGATGTTTATCGGCGGCCGATATGACGAGAAAATTGACGGATACGGAGGCAATGAGATGTGGATCACAGATATTGTGGACATATTTTCCGACACTAATTGTGTGTCTCTGCGAAACAAACCGAAAATATTTGTTTTCAACACTTTCTCTATTGATTTGTATTTTACTTTTTGGAGAGAGAGAGAG